TTTTTGTTTAAAAATGTGAGTTATGTTATTTAAAAGTTTTTTTTTTTTTAATTTCTCTGAAATTTCTTTTTTTTTAATTTCTTTTGAGAACCAACTTGATATACTTTTAGAGAGGAATATTTTTGGTAACCATGGCACCCACCATTTAATTTTTGAGTTTTGAATTAAACAAACTAATTACCATTTTCTTAATCAGTTTTAAAACCGTTTAAAACCAGTTTTGCTCCCTTGTTTTCCTTGTTTATATAATTTCTTGTTTTCCTGATTTATATAATTTGCAATCTTTTGAGTTGTCTGTTCATTTTTTTGCTTTATAAACTTCATCTTTTCTCTTCCAGTAGCTTCCAACTCTAATAATTGTAGCTTGCAGCCTTGTTGGAAGTAAAATTGTTGAAACAAACAAAAAAGGAAAATGTTCCACTTGAACTATTTCTTTAAAAATAAATAATTGGGGAGAGATTTCTAATAAATTCTATTTTCGTCAAAAAAAGCCAAAAAAAATAAGCTCCTTTTTATTATGTTTATTATAAGAAGTTTTTAGCATAAAACTTTAATTGTTACCCCAAACCCAAAGATTTTTCTATTGTTAATAGAAAATATAAAAAATAGGTATAGAAATGGTCATATAAAAAATAGGTATAGAAATGGTCATTATAAAAAAGATTTACCATAACCTGTATTTTAACAGCTAGTTTTAATTATTTTATTAAGAATTTGAAGATAATGCTGCTTTTATCTTTTTTTGGGGGGGTTGCTATCTTGAACTATCAAACCTTATAATATTATATATATATATATATATATATATATATATATATATATATATATATATATATATATATATATATATATATATATATATATATATATATCCTTATAGTGTAGTCGAAAGAGCGTTTTAATGTAAAAAAAAGTCTATTTCGACTACAATTTTAATTACCTCGTCTCTTAAGCTGTATTTGATTGTCGTCGAAATGTCAAAGCAATTAAATTAATGCGGAAGTACATTAAATTTTATTGTTTTTTAAAAATTTTTTAAAAAACCGCAATTATAACGACTAGAAAGTTTTTTTTATTAGTGGTGTTTTTGTTTTTGTTTTATTAAAAAACATTTTTAAAACATGCGTAAATGTTGCTACATCGACTATCTTATAGCCTGACTCGCAACGGAGTGCTGCTACATCGACTGATAATTAGCCTGACTCGCAACGGAGTGCTGCTACATCGACTGACAAATAGCCTGACTCGCAAGGGAGTGCTGCTACAACGACTGATAAATAGCCTGACTTGCAAGGGAGTGCTGCTACATCGACTGAGGGTTTGGTTTGGGCAGGCAGTCTATCATTTAAAAGAAAAAAAAAAAAAAATTTAACTTTTTAAACATTTTCTGTTCTGGTTTATTAACGCGCTCTTTAAAACTACAGTTTATGGGAAATATATATATATATATATATATATATATATATATATATATATATATATATATATATATATATATATATATATATATATATATATATATATATAATAATATATATATATATATATATATATATATATATATATATATATATATATATATATATATATATATATATATATATATATATATATATATATATATATATATATATATACAGGGCCTATGCTAAGAAAAAAATTTGATAGGCGGTACCCGCCCCCTCCCCATTTTGGCGGACTTTAGCACTAAAATCTGCGTTTTTTCGCAATATTTGCTGTAAAAATGTAAAAATGATATTTGATATATATATATATGTATATATATATATATATATATATATATATATATATATATATATATATATATATATATATATATATATATATATATATATATATATATATATATATATATATATATATATATATATATATATATATTTTGTTCTTTATTTTATTTTTTTATTTTAATAGATTTTATTTGTATAAATATTTTAAATAAAACTTCTTTTTATTGTTTAATATCTATTTGTTGAAAATATATTTATTTTTACTATAATTCAAGGGAATATTGATACCCTCGTTATCAAGTATATTAAAAACCATTATAAAAAATAAAACTGCTATATTAAACAAAATCATTTAAATTTACGAAACAATGTTCTATGTAAAAGCTTCTTACTAAGAGTTTTTTTAAGAGAGTTTTATGTGATGTAAGAATTTGAACATGGGTTTCCAAAATGACGTTGTCACATAATCGCCATCATCCCAATTAAGACCATTTTCGCGAAAGGTACTTTCGTTGTGTTGTATTTCCAACGCTTCCCTAACTGTCCTATTAAAACTATTTGTTTCTATTTTTAAAGTATTGTGAACATTCCAGTGGAAATTTCCTTTGCAAATTTTGGAAAATTCAGTTACAGCTGATTTTTCCCCTTTACCTTGTTGCGCACTTGTTTGATGCTAGCATATCTGAGACAATATTTTTAGTCCAGTTTCAACAACATAACATTAGCCACAAGAGCACTCTAGTTTATAAACACCGGGATAGGAATTAACTGGTAGTGTAGGTTTATTTTTGGAAATTAGTAGAGTTTGGAGATTTTTTGGAGACTTAAACACTGGTAGGTATCCTGCTTTTTTAAAAACTTTTGCGCATCTTCTTCTACCTGGAATTTTGAGTATATATCATCAACATATCTTTTAAATGATTTCACATGGATGTTATTGTTAAGCGCCGATGAAAGAGCATTACTTTCATGATATTGTAAAAAACACTCAGCAACTACCACCATAAGAGCTAACCCAATTCGTTCAGAGTTTTCAAGTTCATGAATATCATTTTCATATAAAAAGTAGCAATGAGAAAGACAAAGTTCTAAAAGTACCTTATTTCTTTAAAAGTTAATATATATATATATATATATATATATATATATATATATATATATATATATATATATATATATATATATATATATATATATATATATATATATATATATATATATATATATATATATACATAGGTCTCGAATTAACGCAAAAAAATCTAAATGCCCAAAAAAAAATTCAACACCCCCTCCCCTCATCCCTGGCACCGCTTTGCGGTATGGGGGAGGGGGAGGGGGAGGGGGAGGGGTTTAGTATAAAATTGGGGTTGAGTTATTATAAAATTGTATCTTTTCTGCATTAATTTGTAACTCTAATTTTTTTAACATAACTTCTCTCACATTTAAATATTTTCTTATAATTTTCTTGTTTAGAGGAGTTTAAAGTAGCGTAAGTTACTGTTATAATTTACAGCTTAAGTTATAATTTAAAGTCTAAATTGCAGTTAAAGTGGAATGAGCAAGTTATAATGTAATGAGCTAGTAACGTATTTAATACTATTATGATAATATAATAAAGAGCTTGTGTTAATGTTGAACAACTTCGCGATGCTGGTTTATACAGTTTTATAACATTAATAACATAAAACTCGTTTATAATAAAACAAAGTAAATAAATAGAATTGATGTAATTAATATATTAAAACATTATCATCACTTTTTCACATTCATGTTTCACACGTTTGAAATGAGGAAGATAAAAGCAAAAGTTTTTTTATAATTTTTTGTTTCTTGATCTAGCATACTATTAAAAGTTTAAATATAAAAAATTAACATTTTCATTCTAATGGTTTTTATGGTGATGTTTCCATTCAATTTTTTCATTCAAATTGTTTTGCAATTAAAGTGAAAGAAAAATATTTGGTCTATTAAATCGAATTATATCTCCTCAAGTACAAATATATGCTTAAATTACTTTTTTTAGAACAAAATTATTTTCAAGAAAAGTAAAATAACTATTTTTTTAATTTAAATTTTTTTATAATTTAATTTTTGGTTTAAAGTTTTCAATAATTACTTGTTTAAAGTTTGCAATAGAATCTTTCTACTTTTAAAACTATTTTCAAAAAACAAAAAACAATAAACTATTCAAAATATTTACATTTTTAATAAAACTTTCTTTCACACTTGCACTGTTCTAGCTAGATATAAGTTTAACTTTCAGGAATGATCCTCGTTATGCCAATGTGTATTACGGAAGCCGCTGCAATTAAATTATGCTGCAATTAAATTATTGAGCGTTAAAATTCATTTAAATTTTTCCAATTTTTTTTTAATTTCAATAATAAAATTATATGACTAAGATAATTTTAAAAGACTAAAAAAAATTTTTTTGAAAAGAAATTTTTTTCTAAAATAATTTTAGAAAAAAATTTCTTTTAAAAAAAAATTCCTAAAAACAAATTGCGTATCTATAGAAAATGGTTAACCTTGATATCGTTTTAAATAAAATGAAAATATAAAAAAATGGTATCGTATTTTTCATATTCTATTCATGATTTCTTGTTATAATAATTTTTAGTTAAAAGCTTATATTATGTGTAAAAAGATATATATATATATATATATATATATATATATATATATATATATATATATATATATATATATATATATATATAAACATTTGTATGGCTAATTTTTGTGAATCTTTTAGTATATTAAGTAAATTTAATAGTTGAGAAACTGTAAGTTACTGTAGTAACCTAACTGGCTGTTTGATTTGGTTTAAAGGTAAATTCATTGTGATCCATTTATCCATTCAGTAAATCAAACTAAATATAACTTTAAAAATATTATTGGCTTCCACACAGAGATTTAAAGGAATTAAAATTGAAAAACACTTTATATTGAATAGAAATCTTTGCGCAAGAGAGCAAATGATCTTACTTCTACTCTAAAATTAAAAGAAAAAGATGACCCATTATAAAAACTTAGACAAAAAAATTGCTTTTAAGAAAGGCCAAAAATAATGCTAAATTAGTAAAGAAAAAAAATAAAAAAAAAAACAAAAAAACAAACAAATCGCGAAAACATTTAAAAAAAAACAACAACTAATCGCGAAGGTGTGAAAAGCATAAAAAAAGAAGACCCCTAATAAAAAAAGGATATATATATACATATATAAACAAACATATAAATTATAACTACCTCAATTTCTGTAGTAAAGGTAGAAATAGTTTTAACAGCTCCTTGAATGTATTTAACAGTTGCCACAGGTGCTAAAGCAATAAAAGATCGAATTTTGCTAGCTAGTTCTAAATTCTCACCAAATGCAATAAAACCAATAGTTGTTCCTGAATATTAAATAGGAGCGTGAAAATAGAAGTAAAGCTAAGAAATATTTTACCATCAAATTAATTTCTAAAACCATAAAACCAACAAAACCAACAAAATCAACTTAATCTAGGAAAATTAGATAAATAGATATTAGAAAAAAATTAGATATTAGAAAAATAGAATAACATTTTGCTCTAACCAGTCTCATAATAACAACTTTTGTTTCAATCAGTTTCATAATAGCATAATTTGTTCTAACTAGTTTCATAATAGTGAAACTTTGTGAAAATTTATTAGAAAATAAAGATTTTTAAATTAACTTTCAGGAATGAAAAAACCTATTTTTGGTATTTTCATGATGAAATGAGAATTTATGATTTAACTTAATTTCTTCTTACCCTATTTCCCAAAATCATTCTTTTATTGATTTCATTTAACAATTAATTTATGTTGTCCTCTGGATTTGAAAAAATTACTAATACAATATCACTAATTTTAAATTAACACTGTTCCAATTCTATTAGTATTGTTTTGATAGTAAAAAAACTTTTGTTGCCAACTTTTGTTTTCAAAAATGGTTAGAGTTCTTGCATTTTGTGTCAGCATTTATTAGGATATTTTTCTATACAAGCTGACTTAGAAATAAAGTGTTCTCTGATTTCTCAAGTAGTCCTCCACTCTTTCTTTTTTCATTTTTCACTGAATATTTTTTTCTTTAAATGTTTTTTGATTTAGCAGAAAGCAATCAATAAAATTTGAGACTGCACTAAGCTAAACTTGTCATTATTTTGCATTGTTTTAAGAAAAAACTTTTAATGAATAAAGTTTATAAGCTTGCATAGTTAATTTCCAATAACTCGAACCTCCAAGAGACTAAGGAAATAGTTCAACTTTTGTTTAACAACATTTGAATTAACAAAAACTGTTAATTCAAATGTTGTTAAACAAATGTTCAACAACAAATTGTTAAACAAAAGCTTTTTTTTCTTTATTCAATACTAAAGTATATACATTAAATTGACCCCATTAAACTAATGTTTCAATGTAAAAAGTTGCGTATTCACGAAGTACAGTCAAAGGATAACATTCCAAAAAATCTAGCAACACAATGACTTCTTTATTATTTGGTAATAAATGGCATCTAAAAGGTAGCGGTCTTTTATTTAAAAATTCATTAAACTATAAAATAATTTTTTTTTAACCGTTTTATCCTGATAATTCTACGTCTTATAACAATTTTTTTCTAAACACAACAACAACAACAACAAAAATTGTTTGGCTACAGTTATTTTTTTTTATATGGAATGACTTCTTTTTTTGAAAAAAATGTCAATATGTTTAACTCCTATCCAAAAAGTTTGAGTTATCCGAAGAAATTTGCTAAAAGGGGATGAAAAAATGGTTTGACTTAACAAAGTTCCAGTTATCTGAGGTTCTACTTAAATGGAAAATTTTAATAGTAATCTATTAAACGACTTCAAGGAACCAAATGAAACAGTTTGAGATAATAAAAATTAAACTGGTGTTCACCTTACTAGGAAATAACTGTATTACCCTATTCCTCTAGAACTATTTCATTTGTTTCAGCGGTTTTAATACTTTTTTTTAAACTTAGGGTTGCGAATTTTAAATAAAATAATTAAGAATCAAAAAAATGAATGCATTGAGTAAAATAATAAATAAAATTAAACGGCATTGAGCCTATATGCTTGCTGGTGTAGTAATAGCTACCATAACTAAAAATATTCATTGTATCAATTATATCATTATATCAATCCAGTTTTATACCAATGGTGTTTCTCTGGGCAGCAGCCTTGTTCATCAAAGTTTTGTATTTAGAAGTTAAAAAGTTGAGAGGCTGTAACTACAATAAAAAATGATTAAAAAAGTGAAAAATTAACCTCCTTAACTGTAGTAGGCCCCCTAGGCCTTGAAGAGGTGAATAACAAAAAAAAAGATAAATAAGCTAATATAAAATAACAATACCAAATACCGCATGTGGACTAGTATAATAAAGAACGAGACTAAATACAGTTTTTTTTTCTTTCTTTTTTTAAAATACTAATTCAGTCCTAACAAGATTGCAAGCAAATACTAATAGGATGAGAGTTACTAGAAAACAAAGAATAGTGCTCAAGTTGAAAGGGTTGACAGATGATTTTCAAAGTTGTAGGTTATTCGCCGGCACAAAGAGTCACTTTAGATTTATTATTGTCAAGAAGATTATTAATGTAGATAAGAAACAATATAGGACCTTGCGATGCCCTAAATAATTCTGGAAATAAAGAAGAGTGTTGGCCTTCAAAGATAAATTTAATAATGCAGTTAGGAAGAAATAATTTAATAATGTCAATAACTTTGCTAGATACTTTATAAGAAGCGAGCTTATGGAAAAAATAAGCCAAACTTTATTAAACCTTTTGATATGTCAAGAGCAATGGCCTTTGTCTTGCCTCTGTCTAATGCGTGATAGAACTCTTAAGTTACAGCAGTTAGCAAGTTAGCTGTAGAATAAGAAGATTAAAATCCATTTTGATTTTCACAGAGTAGGTTATTAGACTTAGAATGAGAAATAAGAAACTTTAGTTGAAACTTTAAGATTTTGGTAATAATAGAGAGAAGACTGATCCTGCTCCAACATAAGTTGGAGCAGGTCAGAATGTTTTCCAGATATTTTAAAAATTGAATAAGAATACTTTTCTACTTGTTAATTGTTTTTCTCTTCCATTACAACTGTTTCACTCCTTATAATGTTCTAATATTTCACTCTTTTTAATGCTTAAGATCAAATCAACCAATTATCTTTATTCATTTGCCAATATTGTCCCTATTGGTGACTTAAATGCTCATCAAAATTAATAACTAGATTCTAGTACCACTAACTCTTCTCAGTACAGGCTAAAAACCTTGAAATTTTCTAAGCAAGCACCGCCAATGTAGTAGTGCCTAGAAAGAGTTCATGAGCCTTATAAAAAGAGCAAGGAGGCTCTAGCAACCATTGGCATATGTGTTGCGAATCATTGACGTCTCCAAAAACAGTAAATAATGTTGTAATTTAATTTTTATAAATCTTTATTTAATTTTAAATAAAACAATTTTATAGATACAAGCGCATTCAACAATTTATCAATAACCATGATGTGATTTTGATGCTGATATTGAAAATACTTGTTAAGAATTGTTAGATGTTGGTTTGATTGATCAAATAGCATCAAAAAGTTCTTCCAAAGTAATATAAATTATTGCTTTATATTCTTAAATTAGAATTGGCTATGCCTGATTTGTGATTCTCTTGATGCTGAGTTTTGGATAACTTTTTGCAGTTCTTCTTCCATAGTCATTTCTTTTTCTTCAACAGAAACAGTTTCACTGTTGTTTTTTGTTTCAAAAAAACTATTGAAAAAAATTATTTGGATTATTTCATTTGCCAAATGTAATTCATGTTTTGATGGAGTATGCAATGAATCATTCAATGATTTTCAGTAGATTCATTAAATTCCTATTTGTGCATTCATCAATTCTTCTTGTCAAGTTTTCTATTAACATTTTACTTGTTTCACGTTCAACATTATAAGTTTATTCATCATAAGTCAACTTGTCAAGTGAATACTGAAACTTTTATTAATCTTCAGCTTTTCAATTAATATTATACTTAGTTGAGCCTTTTTTTCTTCATAATTTTTTTGAATAAGTCCCATGACATCAGATTCATTTTTGCCAGATGTTTAGTACATTTGGCCATTGACTCTTGTATAAAATAAGATCTTGTAACTGCTCTTATTGAAATTACATCCACAACAGCTAGTTTAGTCACAACTTTTGTTGGCTACAATGTGACATGAAATCAAACATTGTTTTTTGTGTTTTCATCACTGGCTCACCATTATGACCATCTTCATGGCTTGACTTACTTAGCATAATTCCATAAATTGTTTTTATGTGGTTTACCATAGCAACATTAATCATTGCTGTTTGAAATCTTTGTTTTGCATGTTTTACTGCTTTTCAATTAGAAATTCCCATATTTTTGATGTTTTTTTAACTGATCGAAAGGTTAATAAAAATAATAGACTATTAATAAGTGTTCTAAATTTCAACCACCACGCATGAAGACAAGTTATAGAATTTTGATTGTGGAGCCATTCATCATGTCTATTATTTGCCACTGTTGCTTCATCTATTGCTTCTTAACCCATTTATGTGTTATCTTAACTTATAGAATGTATCAAAATGTTTAAAGACTTTAATGTGACTAAAGTGTTCATCATAAACAATTTTATGCCACCTTTAACCGGAAATGGTCAAACTAGCATATAAATTAATAAAATAATTTTGAACTTTACAATTGAGTTGAGAAGAAAGTGGATCATGCAAAAGTAAAAATTTCTTTTTACTTTTGCATTGATGGAAACTTTAATTTAAATGAGATTATAAACTTTAGCAGGAATAAAATTTTATATTTAACAAACATAAAATTAAACAAAAATTTTTTCCTCCCATGAGCAGTTACATATAGCTATTTAAAATATCTTTGCATTTTTATTGTGTTACTTTGCATTTTTATTGCATCACATGCTCTTTGCATTGAAAGGTAAGACAAGAGAGAAAGAAAAATTGATTGTAACTAAAATTTGAATAAATGATCAAGCTCATTTATTCAAAGTTTAATTATAAGCAATTCATATATCATGAGTGAAAATTGCTTCTGAATAAAGATTTTTTTCAAAACTTTAAAATTGTTTACAATAACAATATATCGTAGTATATTATATTAAATACAAATATGTTACAAACATATAACATAAATATATTACTTTATTTTTTAAGTTTGTATTAGAAAGAAAAAATGGAAAATATTATCTGTTGAATAATTATAATATAAATTATATATTCTTATATTTTTATAATAAATTATAATCTTTTCAAACAATTGTTACATTTCACTAATAACTTAAAACAGCTTTGATGATATATTAAACCACTGAAATTTTTAATAAGTTTTTAAAATAACTGATCATTGGTTTGAAATCACTGAAATATTAAATGACGATGATCTTTTGAAATGATACTTTTTAAAAAGGTTTTAAAGTTTTCTTTAATATATTTAAATTTTTTTAAATTTTTACAAACATATTCATGTTTACTTTTGTATATTTTAATGATAAACTTTTTGTCACTAAATAGATTCTAATATAATTTTAAATAAACTCATTGTGTTTTAAAAGGCATTAATAATTTACTATGACATCGAAACAACATTGGTGTTAAAAAAAAATGATTTAAACTAATAACTTTGGTAAAATAAGAATAGCTCACGCAAAAAGCTACTTAGATGAGCGGCTTCCTTAGCTTGCTTCGCCTATTTTACATTATCTTGTTTCAGCTTGCGCACTTATTTATTCCTGCCAAAGCTTGTATATATATAACAAATATGCACTGTAAAAAAAAACAACCTTGAGAATGTCCAATATAATACAAATCTGATTTATTGCTGGTATCCAACACATAATTTATTGATGCAGGAAGATCATACTTGGCCATTTCATCGAAACTAAATTTTTTAACAATAATGATGTTTTATTACATAAGTTGCATTTTTAAATTTAAAAATAAAAATTATAAATAACTTTCATATTCCAAACAATCTGTATTTATATTATTTATAATTATATTATTTTTATTTAAAATCTTATTTTTATATTTATATCTATATTTAATTTTGACTGTACCATTTTGATCCAAAAAAATAATAATCATTTAATATTCTAAAAAATTTAATTCAACATCATTTGCAAATATGATATTAAATAAACATATTGATAAAACAATTGATATTAAATAAACGAACATATCAAAAATAGGATTGCCCCAATACTTGGCATGCATTTTTGAATTTTGATTGTCTCACTAATGTCCATACTTTACATTTACTTTTATAGGTGTGATCTAAAAATTGCATAGAGTAGTCTGGGGCTAAATAAATTTTCATTTTAAACCTAGTAACTTTTTTCTTTTTTGTGCTACCATCTTTAAAAAGGTAATAAAATAAAATCAAATTGTTGTAATCTTTTAGACCAGTTAGACAACAACAACAAAAAAAAGATCTAATTTACAGAATCATTTTTCATCAAGACAAAAAGGTTTTCACAACAGGTAAAGTAAACAAATTAAAGTTTGATTTGTTTAAACACTCATAATATTTACCAAATTTGGTTCCAGCCAACAATAGCTAATCAGAATCTTAAAATAACTTATTTGTGAAAAGCATTTTTTTTTAATAATTCTGGAACAGTATTTTACTGAACATTTAAAAAAACCATTACAGTTTAAAATTATTGGAGTATTTTTTGTAAGAAAGTTTGAAAGAGTTTATACTGAATAAAAAAAAAAAAAAAAAAAATTAAACTGCATTAAAAAATACACATTCTTTCATTTTTGCCGACCAACCTGTATAATTAATATATCTGTATTATCAGATAAAAAATTACTAAAAGCCTTTCGAATAAAAGCTTTTTTTGAAAAAGGAAAGTTTGATGTTAATTATTCCTTATAAGTTTGTTGTTAAAAAAAGTTTTCATTTTCCTAAAAGAAGCATCAAGAGTTTTTTTTTGCTCTTAAATTCTTTGAAAAGAAGGTCGTTTATTTATTGACATAATTATTAACTTTAATGTGGAAGTTCCAGTTAACATCCTAAATATATCTAGATTTATTTATTTCATAAAATTTTTAAAGAACCAATTGAAAATCTTTAATTCATCTTTTTTAGCAGAAAACTAGCGATCTAGACAAATTGTATTATGATATTCGACGTTGAAATAATAAGCAAGCCTAAAATTAGGTTGAAAGGAAAAAAATTTAGAAAGTTCTTATCCTTTCGTTCATTTACAGACAAAGTCTATAATAAGATAATATATGCTACCTTTATACTTTTCAAAATTATAATTAATATGAAAACATTTCTAAAAAAATAAAAAATAAATATTTCTAAAAAATTATTTAGAAATTTCTTTTTTAATTTCAAAAAAAATTTGATAACTTAATAGTTCGGGTCAAAGACATTAAACTAATCCTATATTGGAGCAGGTATAGCTTTTTAGCTGTGGTAAAAAAACTTACCTAGAAAAAGAAAGACTAGCATATAAATCCAAATTTAACTCTAGGTAAGAGTAACCCTAATAAACGTTAGATGGTAGTCTTCCTAGTAGTAGCATTACATTAAAAATACTTAGTCCTTATTGAAAAATAGGTATATGCCAGGAAAAATATCTGGCTGTAAATCTTGCTTTAAATTTTCCATAATTTCTTATTTAAATATATGTTATTTATGTTAATGGAATAATGAAAGACAATCCAAACCACTTAAGTGTAGAACCATGGACATTAAACATAAATTTATATTTAAAAAATGTTAAGACCTCATTTTGTAGCTTTTGATTCATTCTTTATTTTATGAAAACAACAAATAGACTTGAAAAACAATTATTGTGGATTAATCATACTCATTTTTGTATCTATTTTTGGCAGCAAAAATGTATTAATATGGTTATACATATCTTCAATGTTAACTACATTTGCATGAGCATATGTTTAAAAACTACAATATGCTAACCAAAACTAACCGAGACATAATAGGACAAAATATTAAATTTTATGATCCTTTAATTACAATTTTTAACAATTTGTCAAAAAAATATTTTTTTAAACAAAAAATAAATGCTGTAATAAACTAAGAAATGCAATTAATAGACTGACTAACTGATTAAAAGACTATTGACAATTAATAGCAAATTAATAGAATGCTTTTACCTGAAATCCCAAAACTCTTTATCCTTGGTAGTAAACTTGATATTCTCTGACGAATAAGTATTTCCTCTGCTATTGCCAAGCCAAACATCGTATCTAAAGGATAAAAGAAAATTGAAAAATCTTTTTGAAATATATTATTAGTAGCTAATAAAAGAAGGGTAAAGTAGTATAATAAATAATTTCATAATTAAATAAAAGAAATGGTTAAATTAAAACCCTGCGTCTGCCAAAATAAATCCAAGACTTTGATCTGGCGGGTTCATTAGAAAAGTTGCAGAAGAATCAAGAATACCATGTTGCAAAAATGCTACTTTTCCATTACTGGGCTTACGTAAACCTTTAGGAATACGATGAAGAGTCAAAATATATCCATCTTCTGTTTGAACATAATGCTCTTCAGAAGGATAACCATAGTATTGAATTATTTCAGGCTTAAAAAAAAAATTTCAGGCAACAAGTTAACAACACCTTATACAAATATATATATATATATATATATATATATATATATATATATATATATATATATATATATATATATATATATATATATATATATATATATATATATATACATATATATATACATTTTGAATATAATAAATATTTAGCTGAGGAACCAAAAGCTCTATGCTAGCTTTCGGCAAGTTTTTAGGTAGTCAAATGCAGGATGCTGCCTAAAACTTTAAAAGTTTAAGAGGCTATATATTATTAGTAAATACAACCATCATCAGAGTTTGCTGTGCAGATGCTTTAAATTTTATATTTACCATTTAATGATAATAATAATTTTATATTGTATACTAATTTTACTTATTTTAGAAAAGATAAACTATTTAAAGTTATTTCTGATACTAGGGCGACCAAACATCACCACCACACCCACCTCCATTACTTTTAAACATCTCTCATATATTTTGGTGGTTTAGTATAAATTTATAACAAATGTTTTGCATGTTTATTTTTCTAACATTTGAGAAATTTTCTCTGAGCAAAATGTTCAAGTTCATACGGGTAAGGCGTTGGTTTGGTGTCCCTCTGCCCACCCAGTATGCCCGGTTAGAGTTTAACATAAATTTGTTGCCCACTCTTACACCTATCTTTCGATACCAAGATATTAGTATTTCGATAAGAATTGACAAAGTTATGACAATTTAAGTGAAGAAAAACATAATTTTGACCACAGTTTCTTCAACAAATCCATTTATCAAAAAAACAATACATAAACCGTCATAATTTTTGAACAAATTATTCAATTTTGATAATTTTTTTACCTCTATAATACTGTTTTGATCCTCTTTCAATGATACATAACATTATTGTATTCAAATAATTTTTATGTATACGTAATCATTAATTTCTAGTTACCAATTGCTTTATCAATTTAGTCCATTTTTATCTATTTTAACTTATTACTTTGTAGTTAATAATTGCTCATAAATAAAAATTTAAATAATCAAAGTTCTTTTAGTAATTTTAATAGGATAAGAGTAAAAGTGATTGATTTTTATCTTGGTCACACCGGTCACGTGGAGGCGTGGAGATGATAAAATAAACGGGTAAAAATAAATTTTAGCGCTAAATTTCATTTCATCAAAACAATTTAGGGTAAGTTGGCAAATTTCGGCAGCATCGAATTTCGTGCGAACAGCCTTTCGCATCAAAAAAATCACACTGACGCTAATTTAATAAAAATTTATAAAATAATAAAAGTGTTGTTTCACGTTTCAGTGAGTACAACCTTTCCGCATCAAGTTACTGTTAACCCTATGTCGGTAGTCCAAATATTCATGTTAAAAAAGCTATATGTTACGATACATCGGTTTTTCACGTAGTAAAGTGAAAAATCGTAAATCTTTTTGCACTTAACTTTTATACTTAACTGAACAAAAATGTAGCAGGACATTGCTTTGAAAGAAGTACTAATCGTTCACCCAAGTTTAACAAATATGTTCGGAAATGTAAAAATAAATAAATAATAATAATAAACAAATACTTTTTTGATATAAAAAATTTCAGCACAAATTATCGAAAGCATCATATTTCGTGCATTATACCCGAAATTTAATTTACGCAGTATTAAATTTCGTGCATTATTTTATTTTTACCTAACAATGATTTTGAATGCTTTTATGGTTTTAAATATTTTTAAAAGCATTCTTAAGACAAAACAAAAAAATTAAAGCAACAGCTGCGAAATCTGCATGGTTGGATTTTTTTAAGTAAGCAATATTTGAATTCAAATTTCAACTTTTTAAAAATATAGTATCATCATAGTAGAAAATACAAGTTATAGTTTTTTAACCAAGTTTGTTATCGTGGCTATGGACTTTAAAAAAAGACAGAAGTACCAAAAATATAATGAGGAAGCTGTTATGGCCGCTGTTGCTGATGTTCGAAAAAATCATTTTTCATGGAGAAAGGCAAGTTTAAAATATAATGTACCTTCTCAGACAATCGGTGATAGAATAAATGGCAGATACGGTGTCGCCAAGCAAAAGAAAGGTTTGTGTTGTTTAAAATATTTATTTACTTACTATACTAGATGTAATTCTCCATAAAATTGCATAAGATTTGTTAAGAATTCAACATTTTTTTTTTACTTAAAGATCGCAAACCTGCTTTAGAAAGGATATGGACGGTCACTCAACGCATATAAATGTCTGTGTCAGTAAAATCTATAGAGACAATGGAATTATTCTACATTGTTTTCCGGCTCATGCTAGCCATTTGATGCAACCCTTGGATGTTTCCGTCTACAGGCCGCTCAAAACTTATTGGAACGAGGCATTAAATTATTTTAACAATCAGTTTCATAACATGTCAATGATCTAGGTAAACTTTTTTTCAGTGTTCGACATTGCATGGAAAAAAGAAAAAAGTGAACCAGAAAATGCTGTATCAGGATTTAGGAAATGTGGGCTTATATCATTTAATCCAGAAGCAATTGACTATTCAAAACTGGTTGATTCTTGTACAATAACGCGCCTGTTATCGTCCCTATTGTCACAATCTTCTAATTCCTCAACAAAATGTTTACTTTCTTGAGGTGCTTGAAAAAATGGAATCGTTATTACCGGAGAATGTCCTGGTAACGTTTTGAAGACGATTAAAAGAAGGCTATGACGTTGAGAGTGATGCAACAACTTCTGGTCGGGAATGGAATATGTTTAAGTAGGTGCACATTAGTTCAAATAAAAAAATCTCCACCCCTAAACCATTGATCAGTTTTTATTCAGATGCCGTAACACCATGCGAAGCTGAAACACAAGCTACAACTATTACAGAAGAACAAACCTGCAATAACTATATTTCCAGCACTTATAATAATACTCAAACAAACATAGCTTGTGTCAAACATATGCAGTCCACAAATATTATTATCCAACAACTACAGAATCCAATAATCTAATCTCTAGAGAATTAAATTTTTCTGGGTATGATGACACTGTACTTCCTACGTTAAGTTTGACCACCATATTACAACCTAGTTTTAATAACATATACCTTAAACCATCAGCTTTATCTCATAAGTTTTACAAAAAATGGGAGTAATCTCTATTTAAAAACTACCTAGCAATTTCAAAAAATGTAATAATTAGCAGAAAATATCCAAAAAAGCTTGTTAAGACGCCACATGCTGTCAGTGGAATCGTTTTTTTTAACCACCTACAAGCTGTTCAAGAAAAGAAAAAGAAGCAAAATAAAGAAAAGGAAGAAAGAAAAAAACGAGAGAAAATAAATCGAAAATGAAAAAAAATGCATCAACGGCTTCACTCAAAAAAAGTCAAATTGCAGAAGCCTCTAACCCCTAACTCAGCGTTTACTTTAAAATAAATTAATTGTTTTTTAATTTATTGGTTTATAAAAAGTTCTAAGTATTTTTTAGTTTTCTTTTAAGCATTTACGAAAGATATATTATCAGTGCCATTTCAGAATAATATTCGACAAATAATGTTTATAAATAATGCTCACCTAAAAGGTTTTTAGTGTAACTTATATAATTCTCTAAAGTTTTTAATATCATCACTTGTTTTTACAGGTCCTAAAAGTTAAAAGGGCTTTTTAACTGTTAGGACCTGTAAAAACATTTATTATTAAGCCTAAAAATAGGCTCGATCACTAGGCCAAATAAATAGCCGCGGGCCCCACTTTGCTAGTGATTAAATGTCTCTAAGTCAGACATTTAATCACTAGCAAAATATTTTAAAAAAACTATATATGAATTAAGTATTGAATCTTGAATTAATCTGCTAAATTTAACTTATAAAAAAAAAGTGCACGAAATTAAATTTTACTTCATCAACTTGCACGAAATTGTGCGAATCATAAAAAAAAATTCAAAACGAAAACAAAAAATAAATAAAATATAGTATTTAATAATTGCCTAAATTATTACTATTTTGTAGATAAAATAGTTGGCTTCCTAAATTGAGCTCATACTTTTGAGCTTATACTTTTGGTGGTTGTTTGGTATTCTATAACGTTTACGGCAAATGTTCAGCAAACTGCCGGAAATTCGCCAACTTACCCTAATTAAAAATGAATTAAAACAGGTCATTAAAGTTTAATGAAAAAAAAGTTTAAAGTAAAAGAACTTAAGATCTCCTACTTCTTTTATTGAAATAAATTTAGCGTTGCGTAATTTATGGATGATCCCCTACAGAAAAAGAAAGTTTTAAATTTTGTCCTAAAAAATGGACAAGGAGAACAAAGAGATCTAGCCTGGGACTCAGCTCCTATCATGTTCCTTAAGATTTTTCAATTACTTTGAACTACTGGAAGTTCGAGTTATCCGGGGTTCGAGATATTGGGCGTTCACTGTATAAACAAAAGGTGAAAAAGTATTACATTAACATTACAAAAATATAATTGAAAAAAATCAAAAACAAGAATTTAATTGTTTTTTATTTTTATTATAATTTTCATAAAAATTGAGATTTTTTTAGTGGTTCGCCACTAAATAAATCTCAATTTTTATTAAAACATACTTTTTTGAACTTCTTTTTTTATATCAATTCATAGTTTATTTTATATCAATTCAGCATTCTGAAATCAATTTTGATATAACAAGCCCGTTTATGTACAGGTCTAGATAGAGAGAAGCACTTTTCTAACAGAATGTCCTAAATTTTGATGAGTTAACTATGATAATCACATGACATTGTGGCAATAATAGTTTGAAATCTTTTCGTAAGATCTGTATCCATATTTATTATATTAGCTAAGACATCGGATTGCTGAGAAAAACGCCTAGCTGAGTTAGCATCGTAGCTGATATACCTGCCCCACCTACTTATAGTTGGTTTATGACAAGACTCGTCTTTTTTCATAATTTAACTCGGCCTTTAACCTTCCTCAAATGGGCAATATTTTTTTTGTTTTCAATTTTCATAACTGGTATCATTCTAAAAACATTATCCAACCATGCAAAGCTAAAACGCTGTCTGGTATATCTTCTAAAGTTTGATTTTTGAACTACAAATAATAGAGTGTTCATTTCGATTGGAGATGCACTCACGATTAGAATTGGTTGCCGTGGAAATAAAAGTTTGAGTTTTTTAACCTATCATTGTTAAATTTACAATATGTTGTAGGGGAGATGGGGGCGCATTGATCGTCGGGGCAGTATGATCTTTTAGCTTTTACTCGTTTACTTTTGCCTTTATTTAACAGAGATTGCAATTTAATTAACCATTATACTACCCTTCATTGCTTAATCGTAATAACTTTTGATAAAATCAACTTCAGCGTTAAGAAAATTGAAAAGACTGTTTTTCATCATGAAAAGTGATTTTTGAAAGATGTAAACAAATTCAAATAAATTTTTAATTAGATTTCCGTATGACTTTACAACCAATTTATTGTAAACTCATATGTGTTAAGTTTATAATAAATTTGTTTTTTTGAGTTGGTTACTGTATTTATAGAAGTTATTGCCATCAATATATCAACTGCACCTAATGGAGCACATTGATCATTGACTATGCGGGGCTCATTGATCGGAGGATCAAAGTGCCCCATATAACCTATATTATAAGACTTAAATTTTTTGTTTAAATTTTATACATTTAAACTTATGACGAATAAAAAATCTTTATATAAACTTTTAAAATTTCATTTTAAAAATGTAATAGTGTTAAAAACTAACATTAATAACATTAGTTTTTAGTTTTACATAAGTTTTACAATTAGTTTACATAATATTATTATATAAAATATTTTTTTTAAACAATCATTTTATTTTACTTTTTTTTAAATTTTCAGATCTTTAAATGGTTAGGTATAGAAAAAAAAAACAGACAGAGTTGCTATATCATGTGATACAATGAAATCAGCTGTTAATGAAGTTTTAAAGGGCAGACCAGTGAATGTTGTAGCTTGCAAGTTTAGCATAAATCGAATAACCTTAAAAAGATATTGTAAAAAAAAGAAGCTCAACCCAAATGAATCTTTTAAACCTAATTACAACAATAAACAAGTTTTTACTGCAGAAGATGAAAAAAGTTTGTCAAGTTGTTTATTACTTGCATCAAAAATCAACTATGGACTTTTAACTAAGTCAACACGATTATTGGCATACGAGTTTGCTGTAAAAAATAATATGATTTGCCCTTCATCATGGATCAAGAATAAAATTGCAGGGATTGATTGGTTGCAAGGTTTTATGAAAAGACAACCAGAGTTGTCTTTACGAACACCTGAAGCAACTAGCTTTGCTCGATCAACTGCCTTTAACCGACACACTGTTGGAGAATTTTTCCAAAATCTAAAAACAGTAAGAATTCGATATAAGTTTGATCTTTATTGCATATGTAATGTTGATGACAAACTGGTTTAACAACAGTACAAAAGCCAGTAAAAGTGTTAGCAGGTAAAGGAAGTAAATAAGTAGGAAGAATCACATCTGCAGAACGAGGAACATTAGTAACTTTATGTTGTGCTTCAAATGCAATTGGAAACTCTACTCCTCCACAATTTGTTTTTCCTAGGGTCAAATTTCATGATTACATAAAGGAAGGTCCTCCTGGATGCGTGGGATTTGCAAATCCTTCTGGTTGGTTGAATTCAGACATTTTTATAGAATGGATAAAACATTTTGTGAGGTATTCAAACTGTTCTCATGAATCTCCAGTTTTGTTACTTCTGGACAGCCATAAAAGTCATATTTATGTTAGAGATTTGGATCTTGCAATTCAACATGGAATTACAATGCTAAGTTTTCCTCCCCATTGTACCCATAAATTGCAACCATTGGATAGAACTGTTTTTGGACCATTAAAAAGGTTTTACAATGCTGCGTGTAATAATTGGATGGTCACAAATCCAAGACCTATGACCATTTATGATATTGTTTCAATAGTTCGCGAACCATATACAAAAGCTTTCTCACCATCTAATATACAGAGAGGATTTCAAGTAGCTGGCATTGAGCCATTTAATCCAGAAATTTTAAAAGATGATGAATATTTACCATCATCAGTTACAGATCATGCTGCTCCTAATGTAGTAAACACAATTCTTGTGGAACCCGAAATGACTGTAGCACATGTTGATAGCATGGAGCCTGAAATGTCTGTAGTACATCATGAAACAAGTTTTTCGAACAAAGTGTCACCAAGCATTGCTTCATTACTCTCACCTGAAGTTTTGAAACCTTACCCGAAAGCATCTGCTAGAAAAAGAAGTGTTAAAAGTAGGCAATTAAAAACGAGAATTTTGACTGATACTCTAATCAGAAATGAAATTCGTTTGTCAGAAGAAAAGAAAACCATAAAACAAATCAACCAACAAAAGAAACTCATCGCAAAAGATAAAAAAAGGGGAAAAGTTAAAAACTACTGGCTTAGGAACAAAAACAATGTAATGTAAAAGCAGCATCGCGACTTGAATTTGACAAAGGATGATAATATAAAAAAATAATCTTGTAAACTTTAGTTCTAATAAAAGTCTTGTATGAATCTTGTATTTTCTTTGTAAACTTAAAATACTGTATTCTTATAGACATTATAAGCTTCAAGTTTTGTAAAACTTAACACATATATATGTTAGTAGTATATAACGGGCTTTTCATAGATAGAATTGTAGTTATTCTTCTAATGTAAACTTTATACACTGGTGTGTATTAGGTTGTAATGATATGTATATATATATATATATATATATATATATATATATATATATATATATATATATATATATATATATATATATATATATATATATATATATATATATATATATGTTTTAAATTTTACTTTTTTTTTAGATGTATTATATAGTATACACTAATACCCTTCAACTAATGCATTTGTAGCACTTAGGTATAGCAGTATTAAACATGTAAATAATGTTACTCATATAAGATCAAAGCGCCCCATATTGGAGATCATAGTACCCCATTGCATGGGGTACATTGATCTTTTGCAAGGGTTGTTGTAATGTTGAAATATACCATGTTCATTAATGTTTTTTATTAAAACATTTATTTTTATTTAAAGACAGATTGTTCTAGTTTAGTTTAGTAATTAATAAGTTTTTATATCTAGATCGGGTTATTTGCAGTTTTTAAAATACTGCAACGGCGAATAATGCGCCCCCATCTCCCCTACTTCAACTTCCTTTATTGTACCATCCTCCAATAGAACAGATAAAATGGATTCAAATCGTATTTGACTTACTCTTATCATGCATTTTGATTGTTAATATACACATAATATAAACATTAGTTATCCCAGCAAATATTTTTGTAGTGGAATTGCAGTGGACCTTTATAGACATTTTAGGCGGTACTTTAGAGTTTCGCTCAGTGATTACTTAATAAATTGTAAGTGACATTCTCTATGAGTGGGCAGCCGATAACCTTCTAACATGTGATATAGTGGCTAGTCATTGGCTAGCCACCTTTCGCGGCTGTCACTTATGATCAAATAAGTAACCAAAAAAAATAAAAACAAAACTACAGTGGACCGCTCAAAATACTTACATAGATCCATTGAAATTCTGCAATAAAATATTTGATGGGATGTTTACATTATCATTAATCAAAATTTTCATAAATTAACAAAAATTTAAAAACTTTTTTAAAAAAAACCCACATAGTCGAAGAACCGTTTTTACCTAAAAAATAACTCAAAGCATTATATTTAAACTTACTATTATTATAAAAACAATGTAAGTACCTTTTCTAATTATAATTTTTTATCAACTAAAATTTAATTTTTTAGTATATAAAAAACGGTAAACTATGTTTTAAAAACATGATGAAAAACAAAACACAATTTGAGTCTAAAACAAAAATCTAAAGCTGCAACAATAATGAGAAATCAATGTGTGTGTGTACTTTCACAAATCAATGTGTGTGTGTACTTTCACAAATCAATGTGTGTGTGTACTTTCAAAAATCAATGTGTGTGTGTACTTTCAAAAATCAATGTGTGTGTGTACTTTCAAAAAACAATGTGTGTGTGTACTTTCAAAAAACAATGTGTGTGTGTACTTTCAAAAATCAATGTGTGTGTGTGCTTTCAAAAAACAATGTGTGTGTGTACTTTCAAAAATCAATGTGTGTGTACTTTCAAAAAACAATGTGTGTGTACTTTCAAAAAACTTACAACATTCATTGATTCTTCGGGTAACTTTGGAGCGTATATTTTTCTTAACGAAGCAGAAAATACCAACGAAGTAAGCATAAGTATTATGCATAGGTTTACAAATTTCATTTTTCCAAATTTACTTCTAACATAACGTAAATAATTTAATAAAGGAATATAAATATATTTTGACCACAAATAAAAAAATTTACTAAACTAAAACATTAATGATTTAAAATATGCACTCTGCTATAAACAAATAAAAACATTTAAAAAAAAATATGCACTCTGTTATAAACAAAAAAAAATATTTGAAAAAATCCGTATTGCATGTAATGTAATACGGATGTTACATAAAAAGTACATTTATAGTTGCATCAAGTTACACACAAAATGCATATATAAGTGTATCATTTTACATTAAATTTTGTTTAAAAAAAAATTAAGCACTTTTATTTAACATAAGTTTTCCAATCCAAATCTAGAGGTGATAATTCTTTATAGTTATTTATATTTTTAATTTACTTTCTTCCCTAGTTTCTAGGTGGCTAATAAAAAACCATGTTTTAAAAATGTCTGTTCTAAATTAACTATTTTACTCAAATACACAAAATAACAATTATAAGAAAATTGAATTCTTTGTATATTTCATTGTATATTTTATCATCTTTGATCAATCTAGAGTTTATAAGGTGCTTTTTATTGCAGTTCAAAGATAATATGTTTTACTTTTTTTTCTGGTTTTGTTTCATCAAATTTATTTAGATAGTTGCATTGACATCTGGATTATTATATCTAGTTAAATTTGTCGTATCTAATTGACTATGAATTTGTGTAAGTTAATTTGTGTATTCTAGTTAATTGTGCAGTTGTGTAAAATTGTGTAAACAGTTTTTTAAAATTTTCATACTGAAATTTATCCTTTAGAAATCAAGGTTTTCTTTAGAAGGTATCCTTTAGAAATAATAGGTTAGTTGTAATTTTTTAGATAAAAAACTAATCAACCTAATAACATTCTCATCTAACAGCATATCTACCTAACCAACACACATACCTTACTAACATACCTACTTTATCTAACGTAACAATAGTTTTTTATATATTTTTTTATACTTTAATTTGGCTTATAAAACTTACTAAAATCTTGAAAAAGAAAAACATCACAAGAACAGCGTAAGTTATGTAATCAGATACTTGTTTGTTGGTAAAAGAATTAATAATATTTATTTATGGTGAGTTGAACATTTTTGGCGAGTAACTATTTCACATGAGGTATTTATAGTATGGTATATAACTATTTTACATTAGATATTTATATTATGGTATATAACAATTTAACATTAGATATTTATGTTATGGTGTATAACTATTTCAAATTAAAATTATGATATGATTTTATTCTAAATATACAAACTCTTTTATTATAAAAAGAATTTAATCATCTCTCAAGATAATTAAAGCACTAAATTTGTTTTCCGCCAATTAATCAATTAAAAAATAATAATAAAGAATATGAGTATTTAAAAAAATTAAAAACTTAAATGGTAAATGTTAAACTAATAAGTTTTGATCAATCATAAAGTTGTGGCACAATCGATCAAGAAAAAGAAAAAATATATATATACTGCATTCATATAAACATATATCTCATTCCGCAAATAGTAACTTAAGGAATATAAGGAAAATATTAACTTATGTTGATGCGCAACTAAGAGTAGTTTAGTTTTTCATTCAGCAAAAACGAATTTTATGTAAATCTGAAAAAAAAGACTTAAGTTAGATAACTTACTGCTTTAAATGTAAATTTAAATGCAAAGTTTTCATTTAAATCTACTTGTAAACAAAATTAAATCATACAAATAAATGGTATTCAGGTAACAGATTAAATACGGAATTATGAAATTTATCTCGGTAGAAGCAAACGATTTTCTGATGTATAAACTTTTGTAAAAAAAGTTAACAACATAACAAAGTTCGAATAAATTTAAGAGAAAAATTCAATTTTTAGCAAAAAAAAAAAAAAAACTTAATAAATCTAAATAAACATAAAAAAAAAAATCAACATTTGTTGAAATTAAATTTGTTTAAAAAGAAACTACTTTTATTGAATTAAAACCAACTTTGACTTTCATGGGTTTAACTTAAGTTTTTGAAGTTTCTAATTTTGAAAAAAAAATTTAGCTTGAGAATTTATAAGCCGTGTCTTTTTCAACAGAATCAAATATGAATAAATATATAATATATTCATTTTGATAAAAGCAGACCCAATGGCGTTTTAAAAAGTAAATGCTTAAATACATTTATACTTAAAAAATGTAAACAAAATCGTATTTATCTATTAAAATACTTTATTAATTTTTTATATTATATATAATTTACATAAATATTTGATATAAATAATTGATATGAATTTAATTTTTATAATAATCAATACTATTTGCTTATTGGAAATAATATGAAATGTTCTATATTATAAACAACATTAAAGTTACCAATTTTGATAATGTGGTCAGGATATTTTTTATAATTTTTTGTCAAAGTGTTTAGAATTTATCTTCAAAAACAAATCCATTGTCTAGATTGCCAGTTTGATTTTAAATGAAAACAAATTCAAGTGACAAGTTCTCCATGTTCCCTATGTTTATGCTGCAATTGAAAAAATAAACAATCTGAATTCGCATTATTGTAAGGATGCCCTAAAATAAAACAGTCTGAGTTCACATTAATGTAGGGATAACCTAAAAGTCACAAATTAGTGACTTTTAGGTCATTCCAGTTCCGGCCGGAATTACAATGTTTAAGGCCGGAATGCCGGAGTTTACTTTTTACTTTTTTTTTTTTTTTTTTTTTTTTTTTTTTTTTTTTTTTTTTTAAAACATGTGCCGCAGACTGTGTAAATTAAATATCATTGTCCTACAGGGTAATGAAAAAGCTTTAGGTAAACCTACGTAAAAAATACAATATTCTTAACAAATTTTTTCGCAAACAAGAATCTAATTAATGAAAAAGGTTATATATATATATTATAGGTTATAAACATATACTATGTAGCCACGATGCTGAGTGACAGGTTTTCACTTTCAATGTTGAATTTAAAAAATTGCATAAATATAATTCTCACAAAATTATGATTTCAGCTCAAACTATTCAAAATAGAAACCAAAAGCAAGGATTTCATGGTAGTATGTCGCAAAAAATCCTATTTGTCTCAAAGACATAAAAACAAAAATTTTTATTTTCAAAAAAGTATGACTATTGACAAGATTATTGAGTACTGGAAAAAAGTAATTTGGAGTCATGAATCCAAATTTAATCTGATCTCATCGAATGGACAACAAAAAGTTTGGGCGAAAACAAAGTGAGGCATACAAATTGAGTTGCATGAGAGAAACAGTAAAACACGGTGGTGGAAACGTCATAGTGTGGGGATCAATGGTGAGGAGCTGGCAAATTGACTTTCATTGAATCAACAATGAACGCCAATTCGTATATAGACATTTTGAAGCAAAGTTTGAAGCCCTCTGCTTGTAAATTTAGATTCGAAAATAACTTCAACAAGACAATGATCCAAAACATTGTGCATGATATTAATGGAATGGCCGGTCCAGTTCCCTGACCTAAATCCAATTGAGCATTTTCGGTACATTCTAGACCGGAAAATTGGAAATCGAGCTTACAGAAGACAAAATTATCTAAAAGCAGCCATTGGCGAAGCATGGGAGAAAATAACTCCAAAAGAAACCAAATCTCTAGTGGAATTGATTCCTCGACATCTACAAGCAGTTTTTCTGGCAAAGGGTGGCCCTACTAAATATTGAAAAGTAATTTTTAGCCTAAATTTGAAAAAAAAATTTATTTGTAGCATTATTTTTTTTTGCGAGAAAATAATTGATGAATATAAGTGCAGTTAATTTTTCTTCATCATATGAACTTATATTTGACAATTTTTGAATACAATGTTTCAATATGATGTTATTTTAAATAATTGATAGTTTTTCCCTTAAAAATAAAAATTAACAACCGTTTTTTAATCGTTTAGTACAAATTTTCAGAAAAAAAACTTTGTGCCATTTATTTTTTTTCTACTGTATGTACAAACAATAAATTATTAGGATACAAGATATTTTAAACCTAAAAAAGAGTTACTGAGAAGTAAAAGAGTAGAGTACTCAAGTCCATTGATGTTTGATTGCTAACTGCAAGAGAACAAGACACCCATAATCACAATATTTATAATACATATTCCCCAGAGAAACTTTAACAGTTTATCCAATAAGAACTTGATACGTTAAAAGTATAACAATCGAATACTATTTCAATAGCGCAGCATCAAACACAATTGAATAATGACATTAGCGTGTATCGAATCTCCTCAAAACGCGTGATATTCTTACAGAAGTTATCCTTTTTGGCTATGTAGCAGTGATACATACTGATTTATTATGTAACATATGTAAGTATTTTATGTTTTTCTTGTATAAATACAGGTGATTTTCAAGTTATAGTCGGTTTTTTGACGAATTTAGTCGGCTAGTCGGATATTTGACGCAATTCAGTTGGTTAAATTTTCTTTTTGAGGATCTTTTTATATTTTTTTAAGAAGCTAGTTGGTACTTTTTAAGGATTCACTCCCCCACTCCCTCATTTTATCCCTCTGTATGTATGTATGTATGTATGTATATATATATATATATATATATATATATATATATATATATATATATATATATATATATATATATATATATATATATATATATATATATATATATATATATATATAGATATATATATATATATATATAGATATATATAGATATATATATATATATATATATATATATATATATATATATATATATATATATATATATATATATATATATATATATATATATATATATATATATATATATATATATATGATATATATATATATATATATATATATATATATATATATATATATATATATATATATATATATATATATATATATATATATATATATATATATATATATAGATATATATATATATGATATCTTGGCAAAAAGATTAACTCATACTAGCTGAATTGACCCGTAAAAATACGGGTCTTTGTAAGTCTATTCCACACAAACCTTTTCCCTTATTTTCTCAATCTAGCTGTCCGTATCGGTAAATACAGGTCTTTCCTTCAACTTCTATATTTATCTATTTCACGCCAATCATTTCTTTACTTGTTCCTTAATTACTACAATATTTTTTAGTAAACAGTGGAAAAAAATTCAATAAAAAAATTTGCTTTGACAGCAAAAAAAAACTTTAACATACGCACTTTTTCCGCATACGTATATAGCTTATTAAACCCCGTTTATTTATTTATTTTTTTTAAAAATTCTGAACTAAACTACTTCCTACTTTTAGACCAGCCATGGACCATGGTTTATGATTGCGTCCTAACCATTTTCAATAGTTACTATTTACTATATTTATTATTATTATATGCTTAGTTTTGAATAATAACGGTCTTTTATAGTTACCTTTGTATTAGACGGAAACGGTAATGCAATTCTTTAAAACGTTAGTCGCTTAAAGCATCAAAAGTATGGCAAAAAAATAAATTATAAATTTTGTGGTTTGTTGAAAAAGTTGAAAAACTAATAATAATATAACAAAAAGTTTGGTAATTTTAAACGTTATTATTTAGCTCTTGCTTATGGTATTTATTTTGTTTTCATTTTACATTTTTAAAAAAATGTTGAAGCGCCTAACTACATGCATAACTTGCATAGCTCACAAGTTAAGTGCGCAGTCATCAGAGTCGCTGTGCAAGGTTTCAAATCCGCGCCTAAAAAATATCAATACTTTTTTTTTAATTTTTTTAATCTGGCTATATTTATAGCAAAAAATTAAATAACAAAAAACCTTTTCACTGCCTCCGCTGCAATACCATGTGGAGTAGCAGGACGGTTTTATCAAATTCTTTCCTTATTAGGTTTTAGGACCTTTTTTTTAAAAACTATCCGTAGCTTATTAGGACCAATTATGTGAGAACAGTATCAAAATCATGACACACACGCAACAAATTTTCGCCCCGTTCATTGGTGTTTTTAGAAATCCTAAAAATTCATAAAATTTTAAAAGAAAAAACAGTTAAAGTGTATAACATTTAACTTGTTTAACTTCACAAATATTTTGTAATTTAAAGATTCTAAGAAAAAAATCGCTAGTGGTAAATTTGAACCACGACTATTACGTTCAGAAGCTTAGCTCGCTAACCACTCGGTCATGCTGACACATCAAATATCGAAAATTAAAAAATATATAAAAATTGTTTTTAACGGAATTGCTGTAGATCAAAAATTAAGGAGAGGTTGACGCAATGCAATTTTTAAGTCAAAGTGAAACTATAAAACTTGAAAAATGTTTCAGCATGTTTTATCATTACTTAATTACGTGCGTTAGATATTTGCATACACGTTTTTTTATAAAAAAAGTGCTGCAACTCTTTCTACTAACACTACTATTAAGTTCGGCATTAGTATATAGAATATAGATTATAAAATAGTTTTTCACTTAAAAGGACAAATTCTATTTCACATTAACCTTATCTCTATTTCTCCCTCTAATATTTTTTAGTGAACAATAGATTATGTGCTGGAAAAAAAATATTCACATATGCACCTTTCCCGTATATTTATATTTAGAGCTTAAAATGAAGAAGGTAAATCATTTAGTTCAAGACAACCTGCCCAAACCCAAATCCTCTGTTGATTTATGCACACTCACTGTGGCTAGGCGTGTAAAATAAGTAGCTAGGCAAGTCAAATAAATTAACTTGATCTGTTTTTCTGCATAAAACAAAAACAGAAAATGTGAAGTACTTGATATAAGGAACTGTAATATTGGATTTAGTTAATTCAATACAAAGTGATAGGAAACTGCAAAATAAGGTAACAACGTGAAAATTATTCAAATACTAATTTACAACAATTTGTATTGCGTTTTATTAAAATAGCTTTATCAAATGGTATGAAGATTGATGATTCTTCTTTTTCGCCTTTAGAAAATGATTAAAGATTTGAAAGACTTTTAAATTGATTATAAAAGCATCATCTAAAAATGAAATAAAATCATTATTGATAACACTGAATGCACATTTATTTGTCTTATGTTAATTCATTTGAAAAATGAAAAATACGAAACGAAATTTAGTAATATTAAATAAATATTAAACACCTACTTTGTGAGAGTGCTTTTGTAAAAGTCTCTAATATTTGGTTAGAAGGCTGGAAATACTCTTTTTTTTAAAAAAATTCAGTTTTATCAGCGTTGCTAAAGATAAAAATTCTTTTTGACACAAAAAAATTCGGCATTTTTTCTTAAAAAATTTCTTGGCTTTTAGTGAATGATTAGGAGTAAGTTTCAGTAATGAAGCTACCCAATAATCATTTTTAACGATAGACACCAACATGAAGGTAAGCCAAGCTGTCTATCAACACAAAATATCACAACAACATTACAGGATGACAAACAATAACACCAGTAGTGTAGGCAGGATTTTTGTTGTTTCAGATATATATTTAGAAGTTGTTGAAGAGTTTAACTTTGTTATGTCTAAAAAAATTCAGGTTAGGAAAAACACTTTTTTTAAACATTTGTTCCTAAGCTTTAACAACATCAATTTTTTGCAAAGTATTTTAATTCTATAAACGTGAATACACTTAAGTTTGGTTGAAAGTGCTATCTGAAGCATCAAAAGACCCTGCCTATGCTACTGAATACACATAGCATAAAATATTTGCACATAAACACATTTGCACATAACACAAAATATTCAGATGTGTTTCCAGAATAATTTAAAAAGCTAGACAACACAACCAAGCTCAACACTTGTAACACCGCTTGGCACTAAACGCAGCCAAGTAACACCACAATTTAGTAACACCGCTTGGCATTAAGTGCCAAGTAACAACACTAATTAGTAACATCGTTTGGCTAGCAAGAATCACAATCTTGCACTACCCGTTGCCAAGAAACATCACTTTTCACATGGAAACAACTTAATATAAACTTATATAAACTTAAGCACATAAATATAAATAAAGATATACAAACGCATATCTGATTAATTTTTTTCTGTACTAATCTAAAATGAACAAAAACAATAAAGTGCTATTTATCAGTTTAAACCTATGAAACTATGTGTAAAGCGTCTAATAAAATTTGTGAACAAAAATTATAACTAAACTGGTTTGAAACAGAGAAAAAGTCAGAAGTATCTTGTAATAACATACTATATTGTAAGTAATAAAACAGTGTTTTTTGAAACAAATAAACAATTTTATTATTTTAAAAGTCATATTAATGGTAGAATTAAAAAGCAAAATTAGTTACAAATTAATTTTAATAACACTAAATTAATTTTAATAATACTAAATGAAAAATGACATGCCAACAATTGCAAACATGTTGCATCATATAGACCACATGTGGCTGACAACTGATTTTAAATACTATTTTATAATATATCTAAAGAGAATAATGAAAAGAGATTAATAGGTGTATAGTGCATATATTAGACATATTAAACAGATATCATAGAAAAAGAAAAATTTTGAATATATTTACCAAATCTTTCAAAAACTATATAACACTTAACAAATAAAAGTTAATACAAAAGAAAATTTACTATTATTAAAATTAAAAATAAAGATAAAAAGATGTAAAAACGTAAATTAATAAAAAAACTTATAGACAAATTATTAAAAATTTTTATAACATAAGAGTTCTTTTGTAAGTTTAGGATTTAAGAACAGAATTAAAAATCAAAAAAATAAAATATTGAAAGTATAAAAATTAAAATAATAAAAAATTGCAAAATTAAAAAAAACATTTTTTTAAAAAGTCAATTTTCTTTATATTTGAAGATAAAGATAATTCTACCAGTAGCTTAAAAAAGCTACTGGTAGAAATTAAAAGAGTTGAACTGCTTCCCAGCACCCCTCCTTCTACCAATGGTGTCATATGGGGCTTGTCTTCTCCATCTAAAGGAGGGATCATCTCCCCCATATTGACACCACCGGTAGAAAGCCCTTTGAGATATCGGACCTGGGTGCTGGAAGCGACATCGCAGGAAATCTTGATGCATCGCTAAAAAACAAAAACAAAAAAAGAAATAAATTTGAATACAATACTGCACAAACAACCAATAAAAATATTAAAACTATTTAGACTTTAAAAAAAAAAAGTTATGACAAAAAAAAAAAAATAATAATAAAGTAATGTAAAAATAAGGATACGCAATGTTTAAATTTCATATATACCTACACAAATACACATAACACCCATAAAACTGCATAAGCATAAAAAACAGATTACCTGATGGTCCTGCAGATATTGTTGCTATTATAGAAATAAATAAAAAATATGAACTAACACATATATTAAACAGTTATGTAATTGCATACAAACATGAAAAAAGTAATGTTTAGGTTTCAATTCACATAACACTGCATAAGTATGGAAAAACTGCATAAGTATGGAAAACACATCACCTGGTGGTACTGCAGTTAATACTGTTTCTATTGCTGAAATAAATAAAAAAGTATATAAACAAACACATATTAAACAGTTATGTAATTGCATACAAACATGAAAAAAGTAATGTTTAAGTTTTAATACACATAACACTCATAAAACTGCATAAGAATGCAAAACAAATTACCTGATGGCACTGCAGATGATATTGATGCTATTGTGAAAGTAAAAAAAAAAAAAAGTGTATAAAGTAACATATGTTAAACATTTATGTAATTGATAACAAACATGAAAAAAGTAATGTTTAAGTTTCAATACTTGTAACACTCATAAACAGATTACCTGATATTATTGCTTGAGGTGTTATTGTAGAGACAAAAAAATAAATAAATAAAGTATTCTGTAAAATAAGATATGCTATCTTTAATTTTTAACACACATAACATTCTTAAAACTGCATAAGAATGCAAAACACATTACCTGATGGTACTGTAGATGACGCTATAGTGGAGGTAAAAAATATATTTACATAAACTAACATATACTAATCAATTAAACAGTTTATTTTAAGTGATAAAACCACACACAAACATCAATAAATGTGTGTTAAAATTAAACAAAATGAAACATAAGTGAACTTTGCTTACCAATTGAATTTTCTAACTTTTCTAAATAGAATACAAAAAAAAAACTCATTAACATTAAGAAAAAAACTAACATGCAGAATATTTGTCAACTTTAGGAAATCTATTAATAAAGTTGAAACAAAACAAAAGCCAAAAATAACAATCACAAAACAAAACAAACCATAAAAAAAAAAAAAAAAAGAAAAAAGTGACAAAAAAAAAAAAATAAAAAATAAAAATAAAGAAGAACATTATAGTAACTTAAACAAATTCTGTGTACCCATTGAATGTTCTACTTTTTCTAAATAAAATGAAAAACTTATAAACATTAAAATAAACTAACTTGCCATATATAGAATAACTTTACGTTAAATAAATATGTAATAAAAAAAATAAAGAGCATGACAACAACAATAACAAATTGCTTACTTAGATTCTCAACTGAATCTTCTAATTTTTCTAAATAAAATAAATTTAAAAGTTACAAAAGTCACTTGCTGACTGACAAACTGTCACAACTGACAAAAGTCAGTTGCTAAATAATTTTAAAAAAACTAAAAAAGCATAACTGTATTTGCACATACAAAAAAAAAAACAACAACAACAACAACAAAAAATTCCTGACTTAGCTTGTCCATTACTTCCGCTAAACATTAAAAAAAAGTTATAATTAACAAAGTGCTGAAAGTGGTGAAATATATATCTAATTAACAAAGTGCTGAAAGTGGTGAAATAACATATCCTTCTCATACAAAGTTAGCTTACTTGGCAAGAGCTCTTCGGCTCTGATTTCTTGAACATCTAATATATATATAGACAAAATTAATTTTCAAAATACTCACTTTTTCAATTAAACATTTAAGATTTGTCTTAAATTATAAAACTGTTGCACAGTTTTATAATTTAGCATTTATGAATTAATCAGTAAATGACAAAAAGTTTCATTTTACGTGAAAGTTTAGTAGTTAAAAGACTTAAAAGTCTGTTTTAGCTTAAACACGTTTTATAAAATTCTAGCTTAAACACCTTAAATAATGCTTATACGCGTTTTTAAGGTTCACTGCTTTACAAAAACATCAAGCAAAATAGCGGAATAAACAAAAACTGAGTTTCGGGTCCACCCTTTTAAAGTTCTAAGAATTAATTTTTACATTTTTTAATTTTAGTTAAATTTTAGGGCGGTGTACTTGATTCACGGGGTTAGGGGAGGGCGGCATATCTTGGCTGATTTCAATTAAAAACGGCTAAAATAAATCATCGTTTTATTCACACGTGAATCAAGTACAGCTCCGCCACTTTTAGAACATATGTAACTGCTACTATATATAATATATATAAATGGTTTTCTTCGAAAAAATGCAGAAACTTCTTCGTCGCCCTAAAGATATACAAAATTATCTCAATATAATTTCTTAATAAAATAATAAGCTAAATATTTCAGTATTATTGACGTAGCATCTCTTTTTATCTCTTTAATTAATTAATGTTATACAAAATAAAAAGAATACCTTCTGTATCTTGGCTGCTCATTTCTAAAAAATAATCTTAATGTTGATTCTTGGGTCAAAAACATATTAACTTCAAACATATTAACATGGTAATTATAAAATAAGTTTAATTTTTTAAATGAAGATTACAATAGTTAAACTTGTAGATACAACTTACTTGTCGTCCCTCGCTTTGCAATTGTTATAATCGATATGAAGACCACATGGCCGAGTTTTATTGGTTTTAGAGTACAGTTGGCGCACAAATCATAATACAAAAATCAGATGGTTTTGAATCTATTAATTAAGCTGTTTTTATTAACGGATTTGGTGGATTTAATTAGATAACCGCAAGGTAGTTTTACAGTGGTTTAAGAGTTGGCGTACGTTTCGTAATACAAAAATCATTTAATATTTGTTTATATCTTAATATTCGAGCATTTCTATTAGCGGATTAGGCGAAATTTTGTAGGTTTTCTGTTTGTCACCTTCTGGAGTAACTAAATTTTTTTTTTTAGGTTTCAGATTACAATTTTTTTTTCATACCTTTCCGTACTTTTTATGACTCTTGACCAGTTAGTTTTAATAAAAATTTCAGATTGCATGTAAAACCTTTTTTTTATATATATAAGAAAGAAATTTATCTCTTTAATGTGTGTTGAACTCGCAGTTTTAACTAATTACCTAAAACATAAGTATCTCTATCATGATATATGCGCAACAAATTTCCAACAGCGTTTTTATGTTTTTAAAAATTTTAAAAAACGTTTTAAAAAATTACTACTATTAAGTTTGGCAATATTATATAGAAGATGTCGTTTGAAGAGAGCTTTATGTCAATAATTGTTTGTGATAAGTGTATATTATTTTCACCACTAAGTTTTTCTGATTTTAAATATGTCATTAGAGTTTTATTAAGTAATCATCGAATCTCAATAATGGCTTGATATTCTACTCACAGTTTTTTGAAGATATTAATTTTGATTATGACTATAATCTTCATGTTAATAGTAATATTGAAATGTGGACAATTGTTCTTTCAGATTAGGAATTAAAATTGATGGATACTATCAAGCTATCAAGGATAATTTAAAAATTTTATTTAAAGGCAAGTCAAACTATTTTGGAACAAAATAGTTTGTCTAGCTGATTACTGCTTTGTTATTGAGTCTTTATATAACAACAATTACAATGAGCTTCGTGATTTTTTAGTACTTCCAAGTACTAGGGGAGGGCAAAAATAAAAGGGGTGGAAATTTTACTCCGGATCTAATAAACGGAGGGTCCTAATAAAAAGGTGGTTGGAAATTTATTACAGAACATGAATAAAAAAAAACAGCTGTTTTGTTATAATTAACAGCTTTTTAACAGCTGTTTTAACATAATATATACTATGGTGAGAAATAAACAAAAATCAAAATTTTGACAAATTGAAATTTACAAGATTTTTTATAGGTTGACGATTTTTGAAGCCTGATTACACTGAAAGTTTTTATTCTTATAAAAGTGACTTTAAAAAATTGTTATCGGCTGGTCACTTTTAACCAATGCCACTGATATATATATATATATATATATATATATATATATATATATATATATATATATATATATATATATATATATATATATATATATATATATATATATATTTATCAGTGGCATTGGTTAAAAGTGACCAGTCGATAACATTTCAACATGTGACACAGTGGCTAGTCACTGGCTAGCCACTTTTAGGCTGTTGCTAGTGGTCCACTAAGTTAACAATGCGCAACATACAGCGGACTGTTTAAAATGTTGATATAGGTCCAAAAAAGTTCCGCTAAAGAATGCTTTCTGAAACAATTGCTTATTAGTTTTAAATGGGATGACAAAAAATGATTCAAAATTAGAATGATTCAGAAAAAAAGATAGCTACTTTATACTAAGTGTCATTGTAAAATGCTTAAATAGCGAACCTAGTTTAATGGTTTCTATCATTTCTTTTCAAAAAATAACATTAATCCAGCAAACATTTTATAGAAAAATTTCAGAGGACCTAAATAAACATTTTGAGAAATAGCTGTAGTTTTGTTCATCAATTATTTAGTAGGCCATTAGTGGCAGCCTCCAATAACTGCAAAATGATGACTAGCCAATACTAGGCCACTTTTAGCGGATGCCACTAATAGTCCGCTAAGTAAACGATGAGCAAATCTCTAATGAACTGTTCAAAATGCCTATGTATGTCCACTACAAATTTATTACAAAAATATTTGCTGGGAATGTATCAATTCAGTCTTGTAAAAAAAGCTGCTGTTGAAAAACATCGTACCATTATTTGAGGATGGGTAACAGATAGTTATAAAATCAATCAACAATAACAATTTCAATAGAACTACTGAATTTTAAGCTGTTCATCCATTAAATGTTCAAAATATTTGGTTGCTTTTGTTTAATACAGTTCATCGACTTTAATGTTTACTTAACAACTGAATTTTTTAAAAATGTTATGATCATTTTGAAAATAGAATCATCTAATGTCAAAAATCTATATCATTACCGCAAACCGGTAATGTGTAGCGGTAATTACCGTATTATGATTAATTAATGTAATTGTAACATAATGTAATTATAACGTATCGTAATTACCGTACACATTACCGCAAACTGGTAATGTATAATATGTATAATTACTTTGAATAGCGGAGTAACAAATCTATTTTTTTAAATTGTGACAAAATTTAAAATGAAGCTGTTTAAACCTTAAAAATCAAAGTATTAAAAATCGTTTATATTTTGATTATTTAAAGTTTTACTTTGTTAATTGGTTATTTTTTTTTATTAAGTAATATCTACTCGGTGTAGTTAATTGAAGTTTAGGGAAGGCGATTTTTAATTTATTCAAATTCTCTTATTTGGAAGAATCATAACTTCTTTTACTACCCTTAATAGTAAACTTAAATAACTTCATTTTTGGGTCTTTACATCAATTTTGCTCAACATTGATTTTAGTAAATAT